TTCGGGTTGCCAATTATAAATTTGTACGGGTTCGGGTTGGGTATTTATTCAATTATGATGACCCGTGCAGGCCTCTATAACTTACAATTCTGAGTTTTGATGATTTTTCCCAAATTTGGCCACGAGGCGCAGCAAGTTGCGGGACTAGGTGACTTGTACCATACAAAGAAAATATTCCAATTTCCAAATTTCCAAGTCTTATTTATATCTTAAAACTTATGAAATTAGTGCACTCAATTCTATTTTTTAGTGTAAATTGTGAAAGAGATTTTAGCAAACAGAATATTATCAAATGTAATGCAATGGAAAATGGCACATTGCACTTATTAATAATGATGGTTGATTTCAAAGTTACTGATTTGTTTTAGCGATGCTTTTAGTAAAAAACAGAAGAATAAAACAAAGAAATTTCTTAAACTTGATTTAAATTTTCACCCAGAAAATTTTTAGCATTCAGGAGAAATTTTCGTTTTTTTTCAGACCTATTTCCAGCCCTGGTTGCAGGATGCCCCAAATTAGCAGTAATGTAAAAATTAATAAGAGTAAAATTTTAAAGTTCAAATACTGGATAAATGAACGAACAAAACAAACCTTCTTACTTCAACCAGCAGCCAAAAGGGCTGTTGATAGACATAATGCAAAAACTGTTGAGTCATGCATTGATAAAGATGAACATTTATTTGATGATGAATCTTTTTTTTCTTTTTCTTTTTCTTGATCACCAATTCTTTGTTTTCTTTTTGATTCGGCTGTTTCAATAACCTCCTTATTATTGTAATAATTTTTATAGCTATGATAGCGTAAGCAAGTTTTAATTTGATTTGCAGTTGGTCTTTTGCTGGGATCAGGATCCCAGCATCGTTCCATCAATTCGGCATAAAATTTTGGTGTATCATTGGTTATATCTGGCCTCCTCCCATTCAAAATTTCCATTGTAAGATCAATATTATGCAATCCGTCATCAAATGGCTCTTTGCCGGAAGTATATACCCACATTATCATCCCAAAGCTATATACATCGGATTCTTTAGTATATGGTTTGCCAGATAATACCTCTGGTGCCAAATACGGCATAACACCATAAACTTTATTATTGGGATTCTTTTCTTCAACTGGTTCACATAAT